TTTTTTGTACATTGTTTATGTGTACATACGTGTGCTTTTTTTGTATCCTGGGTGTTCATGCTTATTTTATTCTAGTGTGCTTATTTCTTTCTTTTCACATTTCTCTGATCTGAATGGTTCCAGCTGTAATACCTGTAATTTCCCTCGGGGATCAATAAAGTATTCTCATTCTAAACTAAAGTACAAAAAAATGCCACAAAATGTAGACCAAGGCCACAACGTCAGCCACATGCAAGCGCAATTGTCATTGTCACATTAATTGTTATCGACTAAATGCCACAATTAATCAGGGTAAGCTTTTAGGTCAAAATTGCCCAACTCTACTGACCTGTATGGTGCGTGTTAAACAGAACGTTTGCTTTTAGTTTGCTCTCAGCTTGATGCAAAATAAAAGGCAATGCATGTAAAATGTGAAAACAGTGTGRAAAGATTTATTTTAAATGATAAATATTACCAACAAAAATGTCAAATAAATGCACAAATAGCCCGCCAGTGGACATTTCAAAGCGTGCACAATATAAATATAGGCAAACATGCACGTCTCATTTAACGCCACTGCAGCGGCTCATGAAAATTAACTTTTCAACTCAACCGATTAACAAAACAAGCAGGTCTTTAAGCTTCTCTGGTTTACTTTTAAGCAGCCAGTTTGATGCAGGGTTTTTAAACTGCATCTTCCTCAGCTTCTTTGTTGTAGTAACCRTTAGCAAAGTGCAGGTAAGTGAAGCGTGTGCCTGGTGTGTACTGGGAGCGTATTTGTCATGTGATGGATCTGTGTGAATATGCGAACCACTACMCTTCTACTAAATACATACCTGGATAATCCTATGTGTCTGCTTATGGTATCCCATTGTGAACAATTATCGCCTATAGCGATGTCCAGGGGAGGATAGGTGTGCAGCACTGTCTGGAAACAGATATGAGACAGTACAAACAGGAGGCTGGTGCAGAACACTGTTCTGATAAATCGACCCGTGTGACCTATGAAAAAAAAAAACAAAGACACAAGTAAACTTCATTGTTACATTAAAACAGATAAAAATAATAATGAAAAAAACAGCAAGGTTTTATTTC